AACGGAAGGAAACAAGGCGTGTGCCAAAAATCGGAGCAAACGGAGGTAGTTAAGCGGTCCCGAACCGAGGCACACGGCCGGCGGCTCCGAAAACCAGAAACTGGTCTCCAAACCGAAAAAATGGCCTACGGCCACTGAGAGATGGTCTACGAGACCTCTCCCTCCCTTCGGAAAGAGAAAATAGAGAAAACAGGACCTGGTTCGCAAACTGAGGCAAAGCACAAAAGAGCCCCGAAGTCTGGAGGTAAGGCTCGCAGCCGAGACTCTGAAACCTCAGAACGAGCACAATATGCAACATCACTGAGCGCTCAATTGGTGACGTCTGAGTCTTAAGGTCGGTCAAAAATGGGGTGTCTACAGTAGTGACCGGCCATTGAGAGTACCAAGATTTGCAACCACTATTTCTTTCAATAGTATGTAGCATAAATCTAATATTTGTTCAACTTCAAAACAATATAAAAAACAAACATTATAATATGGAACAACATCAAAATGTCCTTTTGTAGGAGTGACATTTTCCATCGATGAAGAATACGAAGGTAGGGTTTCAAATGTCTTGTTTGTAAATTAGTGCCGATAAATCGATTCTCACAAATTGTAGTATAAACCTCACTTACATCACCAACAATGTTAACTAGGTCAAACTCACTTTGAAAATAACTTCGCAAATCTCCTGACTAAACTCCAATAATTTGTGCCAAAGTTTGGGGGCTCACTGTGATTAGTTTACCTTTGACATAAGATGTCAAACTATTCTCTCCAACTTCTCCCTTAATAGGTCTCAAGTGAAGGTAAAATAAATACACAAGACATGGATATACCTTTTGTGATAAATTGGTTAAAGGTAGTCATCCCATCGTCTCTAGTCTGCCAACCAACAAAGGATCATATTGAGAAAAAAGATTTACCTTTCTCCCGGTAACAATTGGTCGGATGGCAAAATTTTTATAAGCTTGTTCATAATTGTATGTGAGAAAATCAATAGTTGGATAGGTCTGCTGTTGTTGGCGTGGTAAAGGGTTAGAGGTTTGGCCACATTCTGGTCTGGCTCTTTTTATTCTCGGCACGACTTATGAATGTAAGCAAAAGGATAGAAAAAGGTAACAAAAATATATGAAAAATGTATAGCAAAATGTATGAAAATAGTGTGCAAAAGGTAAGCAACAAATAGCCAAAGCTTAGCCTCGAGTTATGACTTGATGGAAGCTGGACGATTGACCTGTCGGATAACCCACCGATTGACCCCCGGGTTGACTTGCTTGCTGAACTGTTCGGCTTATAGCTTTGAAATTGTAAACAGCTTTGAAAGAACCTTTGATCAAAGCTCTTGGTCTCTTGTTTTACACAGATATGAATTGTAAAAATATAGACTAAATTTTTGAAATTAATTGATTGTGAAATTAATTGAGGTAGGTGGTGGAGGAGGTGGTTGTATCATTCGGGTATTTTATCTGGTTGTATTGATACTATTTTGATACTATTTGAATAGTGAATGTCAATGAAAATGGTGAAGAAGTTGGTGAAAGTTGTGAAGTAATGAAAATGTTGGAATGAAATTGGTGTTGCTGAAAGTTGTGAAGTGAAATTGTTTTTATTTTTTATTTTTTTATTTCCTTTGATCGAAAGCTGACCAACTATTTTGGCTTCTTTTTTTTTCCTTTTATTGAAAGTTGACCAACTGAGGTTTTGCAGAGGATTGATGCTCTGCAGAATATGAGTTAAATTACGATGTTGTCCTTTTTTTTTTTTTCCTTCTAACATATGATATTAGAATTTGCTAAAAGAGGGCTAATATGATCATTTCAATGTCAAACACATCAATGAATAGCCACACTAATATTATTGATGGTACTTACACTTCACGGGTGAAATGGATAGGTGAGGCACAATAATGAAGGTGAAGACAACGGTATAGCTTCATGGATTTTTCATCAAAGTGATAAAATTTAACAAATGAAAAATTGTTTAGGTAGCGTTTGGTAATGTTTATATTTTTGGTTTCTATTTAGAAAAAAATTATTAATTAGTGTTTATTTATTTTTGAAAAAATATAAATTACAAACTCGTTTATTTATTGTCTAAATTTAACAAACATAAACAAAAAAATATGTTTATTCAGGTCTAAAATATTATATTTATTTTTTATTATTTTATGACAATAGGATCATACAAATTACAATTGAAAAAAAAATAATTATAAAAATAAATTCGAAAAAAATTAATTTTAAAAATTAAAATAAATTGAAAAACATTAATTGAAAAAAAATAATTGCAATAAAAATTATTTGGAAAAAAAAGTAATTGAAAAAAAAATTATTTGAAAAAAAAATTAATTGAAAAAAAAATATTAATTCATTTTTTGAATTGAATTTTAAAAAGAGTTTGGTTATGAATGTTGATCAAAAATTTCAATCGAGTTTTGAGTTGTGTTTGATTATAAATTATGAGAGAGAGGGAGTATGAGTGTGAGTGCTGTTATGAGTGTTATTTTATTTTATTTTATTTGTTGTTAATAATTAATTTATTAAATTGAATTTGAAAAATAAATTGATTATAACTGTTGATAAGATTTTTCAATAGAGTTTTGAGTTGTGTGTTTGATTATAAATTATAACTTTTTGAATTAAATTTTGAATTTTTTTTTCAAAACTCATAATCAAACAAATTTTCTTATTTCACATGTCACATTAAACATTCAAAACTCAATTTCACACTTAATTTAAAACTCAATTCAACACTCTATTCAAAAATTATAACCAAATAAATTTTTTACACTCAAATCATAATTCCAAAACTCACAAACTCAAAATAAAACTCTATTCTCAAATCATATTTAGAAAACTCAACCAAACGCTACCTAGAACTCCCTAGCAAACTTTAGCATCTATGAAGACTATGGAGAATTCTAGAAAGACCTAAGGAATTTAAGAACCTATACACTTGTACGTATAATTAGATATTTGTATAGATAGTTCTAGAAGGCATTCTAGAACATTCTTGTAGCTTGTAAAGAAGGCTTCCATGAGAAGCTTCTACATGATATTTTCTTGAGAGTTCTCAAATACTCCTAGGGTGCCTATAAATAGGAGGGAAGCTCATTTGCTCCAATACATCTAAGAGTTGTAAAGCTTTCTTAAAGTGAAATACAAAAGGCATTCTCTCAAACTCTTATTGTCTTCTTACTTGTTTTTCTTCTAAGTTTGTGAATTGAGCTGATTTAGTATCATTAAATGAGGCTTGAGATTGTCTAAGTGCCGCACGGAGTGCTTGGAAATTACCAAGGCCGTGACAGCGTGCTCTATTTAGGAAAAAGCAGAACAAGAATAGACGATTTTGTTGTCTGAAACCTCATATTTAAGCTTTTTAACCAACCAAACCAAACCAAACCTTAAGTCCCATCAAATAGAGTTGTCTATATAAATCTTTTTTCTCTACGCAGTTCTATCAAAGGTCATTTCATTAGTTAAATTAAGTAGATTCATATCTCTATTTACAACGCTAATCAACGTTAATCTAAGCCTACCTGGTCTCCTAACACTCTCATCTACCGTCACTACATCGTATCTTTTCACTACTACCTCTGTTAGTCTCCGTTGAATATGACCAAACCATCTCAATCAATTCTCTCTCAACTTATCTTCTATCAATACTACTTCTACACATTTCCGAATATCCACCCAAAGCCTAAATGAACTGTAACCCACTCTACTTGAACCTGTTTTCAGTTCCGTTGACTCTGACACGTCCCTAGGGAGAGAGTGAGGGCAGCGAGGGCAAGAGTGAGAAGAGAGAGTGATGAGGGTAAGGGGAGAGCAGTGAGAGTAAGAGTGAGAGTGAGAAGGAGAGGGCAGCGAGGGTGAGAATGAGTGGAGAAAAAGAGTGAAAAAGAAAAAGAAGAAGCAGCGTGATTAATTTTTTTTATTTACATTGCAATATAAGGTGTGTTTTGTAAAGATGCTTTCAAAGCATGTTTATAAATCACAGTTTAGCCTGTTCTAAGAATTTCTTCCAAAAGTAGTCTGTTATTTTATTTAATTTGGGAATAAAATAAACCCAAAAAGGTTAATTACCCATGCTTGATTCATTGGAATGATTATTCTCATATTGAAAGAGAGAATGAAAAATGTATTTTTGTAAAGGAATGCACAATGCGGCCAAAAATGTCACTTCAACTATGAACATGAACTTATTTAACATTCTTTTGAATCTTGTCTTAGAATTTTTTTAATGTAACAACAAAATTGAAAATTCTTCAAATTTAAGAAGATAACGCTTTTTAATGTAACGACAAAATTGAAGTGACAGAGACGAGGCCCAAAATTCTCTAGGGGCAAACACTCGTACAATTGAACCCTAAACTAGGGACAAGATGACACAACTAGTTGGGCCAAACGTAAGGACAGTCCAAACCAAACAAGTCATCAGCTCGATCGGCCAACTTGGGACCGTGCTCCCAAAGGAGCTGCAGTGTGGATAAACATGGACTGATCAAGAAAGCATTAATCTAAGTACATACGTTGATTAGTGATGGTTTGTGAAGTCCACGTCACTAAAAAGCTCTAGATGAAATCAGTTTGGAAAGCATCTTTAGTCACATGTGATAACGAATTGCCCTCGGAGAGGTTAAACCTAACAGAATGGTGGTGCCCCCATCCTAGGCACGTTGATGACCTAAGTAGGGTCACATGAAGTGGCTGTTATCCTCGTGTGCTTCTTGGAGATCAAGGGAGAAACTTCATAAAATGTAGCATTCATCTTCTACAGAAGACAACTGTAACTCTCTGAATTCGAACCCTTTGCTTTCCTTTGCGAATTCATGACTATACCATTATAGGGTTTCTCCGACCGAACCCCAACCAGAAAGCACTTATGGTGTACTTTTGCTTATTGGTCACGATTCTTGAATCACTCTGATCACTCACGAAACTGTAATTCTATCATTGCAGAAGTCACCCCTATACACTAACTTATCGAAAAAAAATTAAAAAATCAAAATAAAATTCTGAGAACTGCACAACAGAAGCGGGATTTCATTTTTGTAACTGTACACTTCAGTCTTTCAAATCCCCACTTGTGTGGATTATACACCAAATGGTTAAAATGACAAAAAGCTCAATAAATTGAAGAAATAATGAACAAAAAACCATTTAAAAAACAAGGGAAGAGAAAAGCACCTAATCTGAGAAATTTATAACTCCTCCAATACTTTCTCTACCTTCTGCTGTGAAAAACCTCTGAACCAGATCCTTTACCCTTTATTCTATACTCCATCGATAATCCAACAGACGCTGGAATGAAGGCACGGAAAAATCTTTGAGATGGAGCCATCTGGGTACCCCTTCTTTTGGTCCTCCTCCTGGAAGGCCCACCTGTGGCTGCAGTATTATTAACAGACTCTGATGACTTTGACTCAAAAAACGATGAGCAAAAAGAAGTATCGGCAGCACCAAATGATACAGGGCCATTATGTGATTTATCCCGAGGGTGTCCAACCGCTCCATCCTGATGGGGAGGGGGGAATTTCTCGCTCTTGCTCTTAGCATTTGCTTGTGTCAGAACTCTCCACTGCTGGAAATCAACAAACAAAACACAATAAATCAACATTCAGATGAATTTAAAATGAACCCATCTAAATCAGGCATTTGGTAGACTAATCCTAGACAAAGGGCCTGTTTGGTGTAGCTTTTTGTAAGCTAGAAGCTAATAATTAGAAAGCACAAGTCAAAAGCACCCCTCCTCTAACTTTCAAATAATCATTTTTTTATAGCTTACTTAAGCTAATTCTACCTAATGAGCTATAAGTATAAGCTGCACCAAACAATCTGGTATAGACTATCGAAAAACTAAAAGTAGCTCATATAGCTGTACCAAACAGGCCCAAATAAAACAAAATGAATGAAAGGAAGAAAATGGTTGACGTACGTTCAAATTTGCATGGAGCTCTGCATTGGCTTCAGGAGCAGGAATTGCCCGGCCACCCCAATCTCGGGCCCTCACTCTTCTGTTGCCATCACCAGTATTTGCTTTCCCGCTCAAACCTCTTTGCCTGTAGAAGAGAAGGAAAATAATATGTTAGTGCATGGCCAAAACAGGTCCAGGAAATTATAAACAAGAAGGAAAAAACAAAACCTTCTCGCTTCTTGATCCCTCAATTTCACATCCATTTCTTTGCTAGGAGGGTATTTCGGTAAGCTTGATGGCTCACAAGCATAAGGTTCGGTTGTAAAGAACTGTATGAAGAGAAGAGGTTCAATTAAATAATTTTGTCCCATGGACGATACTCAATTCGCTATTAGCAGATAAAAGAATATTTTTTGCTTTTAGCAAAAGTTGTACAATAAGTAAAGATGCTCACTTCGCTATTGAGTGCAGCAGTGGCAGAACCTCGTTCATCGGGCTCAATTGCAAGAAGAGTTTCAATTAGAGGGAGAGAGGAAGGTGGGAAATTTTTCAATGCTTCTGATATGCACCGCTTGTATGGCTGCTGTGGCTTGAAAAGGGTTGCATTAGGCAACCTGGATTTCTTCCAATATTCCTCAGATGGAGAACCACATAATTTAAATATCTTGTGCAGTTGCTCAACCTAGGCATAAAAATGAATCTAAAATAAATAAATTGAAAAATAAAATGATAAGCAGATTAATGCAAACCACTACATCAAGTGTAAGCCCCAAAAAACAGAAAGCAGAATTAAATTTACCCAAATAAGGTAGAAGCAGTAGTCTAAACTGCTTATATTGCTCTTGTGCTTTTTCTCTTTCACAGTTGTATGAAAGTTTACTTGCTTTAATTATTGAAATCTGATTTTAATATCATTATAATATATATATATATATATATTATCATTACTTTCTAAAAAGTACGACATTATGATTACATCAATTAAATAAAGGGTAAATTACAAATACACCCCCTAAGGTTTGATTAAAAAATGAATCACCCCTGTGATTTTGGAAATTACATTCCACCCCCTGAGGTTTCTAACTTCATAACAAATCGCCCCTTTTATTAATAAATCATCAAATCAATTAACAATTTTTAATGATATTAGAAATATGTTTCAATTAATAATTTAGAAATTTTATTATTGTATAAGAGAACAATTATGCATTTCATTTTTTTAATTAATTCTGTTAAATAAAAAATACTAACAAGGAGGTATTTGTAATTTCCAAACCATAGAGGGCAATCTATACTTTAAGCAAACCTCAGGAGGTGTATTTGTAATTTACCGTTAAATCAGTTATGAAAAAGTAGGATACTACATTAATTTCACTATTTTTTTTCTCTAAGTGAGCAAAGTATTAAAAAACTATTCCTATATTTATCCTAACAATTTTAATCTAATATTATGCAAGAATTATTACAATAATAGTTCGGATATGTGACCTAGAGTATTCAAAATGTATCCCATACTTCTCAAAATTAAAGAAATTAATCTATTAGATATGTATCCGTGATTATTCAAGGAATATTGGTATCCAATACGAATACAATGTCTTTTTAGAAGTATCTGCGCTTCATAGAAAGGAAGTTATAAGACTAGTCCATAGACTCAATGCCAAATAAATCAAGCAAATAAACATACCTCTGTCCGTCCCGGCATTATTGGTTTCCCAGCAAGTAACTCTCCCAAAATGCAGCCAGCACTCCATAGGTCAACACCAACACCATAGTAAGTGGCCCCAAGTAGTAGTTCTGGGGGACGGTACCAAAGGGTGACAACACGAGTTGTCATTGGTTGCTTATGTTCAGGATCATAAAAAGAAGCTAGTCCAAAATCAGCTATTTTCAGAATTCCTTCATTGTTAATAAGCAAATTGGAACCTTTGATATCACGGTGTAATATCCCATTATTGTGGCAATGCTCAAGCCCAGACAACAATTGGTTCATATAGCATTTGACCTGCCACAGAAATATATAAGGAGCAAAAAAAAAATCAGCCTCTGAAAAGCCATATATTTATTTACCTACATTTAGATCACAGACAAATAGGCAAATAGCACGTGGGGGAGAGGAAACTCTTCCTTTCGGTTCCATAACAACAAAATTTTATTCTGAACAAATAAATAAAGTTCATACCTCAAAACTATTCATTATTGGTCAAGCAAGAGGTGATATTGCATAATACACCCGAACAAAAGAAATTTCCACCCTAATATATCAAGACAAGAAGCCTTGGGATTGTTAGTTTGGTAAACAATTTGTGAATCAATTTAAGTGGACCCCTTTCACAGCTGCAAATTTCTATAATGGATAGCACTGAAATAGTTTGATCTTCCGGGAAAGGGACCGAAGCTACACTGTCAGACTTTTCCTTTAAAATGAACTGCAGATTGCCAAAAAGGCAAAAATCCTGTTTGGCAATCTCTAAGTAAGCAGCCTTTGGCTAAAAAAGCCAAAAAAAGTAAAAAAGCCTGATTGGTTTGGCTAAAAACCCAATTTCTCCATTAAAAAAAAGTGGGAATGTCAACAGAATGGTTAAAAGATGATTTTACCCTCCATACTCTGAAAATTTTCACCAAGTCCCGTTGGTTATGTTAAACACTATAAGGGTAATATGGTAATTTCTCACCAAAAACCAAAAGTTTGAAAAGACCCACAAAAAATTATCCATAATAAAAAACTTTTTTAGATTTAAAAAAAACTAAAAAGCAATTGCCAAACACCACCACTCCAATCCTGAAAAGCAGATTCTAACAAGCAAAAAAAGGTGCAAGTCATGGCAATAGATCAATTCCTAGAAAGTAATGGCCAATTAGATACGAGAGTTTCTATAAGGTGTGTTTTTTGGTACCATGCTAATTTCTTGGAAACTTCACAGAAGTACATAAACAAAGGAGCTGCAAAGGAAATAGGGCACAGACTACCTATTGTGGATCATAATAGTCCCAACCTCAGTCACCTAGTGCATCCTAGGGGACCCACGCTCCCGCATTGCAATCACGAATCCACGAATTTGAATACAATTCTAGAAAATTTCGTGAATTCACTCAGCCAGTCAGCAAAGAAATTGAATTGAGAGCATTTATTTGACTTTGACCACATGATCAACCAGCAGCGCACATAGAATTTGCAATTCAATTGTGACCAAGTATTCATCTTAGGGGACCCACACCCCCGCACTACAATTGCGAATTCACAAATTTTAATAGAACTCTTGGAAAATTCTTGAATCCATTCAGCCAGTCAGCAAACTTATTGAATTGAGAGTGTTGATTTGATTTTGACAGCATGATCAACCAACAGCTCATATAGAATTGCAATTCAATTTTGACTGAGTCCAACCTAATACATGGCATGATTGGATGTTGCAGAGGCAGGAGGAGAGGATGTCAAAAGATCATATAAGTTGGTTACTGATTCAAATCCAAAACCACGCATACATACCACAAGACCATTACTCGATAACTGTATATTGTTATCATTTGTTTATAATTACAATAATCCTGTCCATCTTTTTATTATTACTTTTGTTATAAAACTACATCTGCTTGATTTTTTAATAAATATAATTTTTATCTTTACAATTAAATTATGCATAAATATGACTTTATTTATATATATACTTGTATATACACGCTTCTAAGAAGCTCCCGTTTTCACTCATGTTCCTGCCTCGTGAATCAGTCACTTAGGTCCCAACTAACCTTTACTAGTCAATCTCTTGGACAAATACAAAGTGTAAAAAATTTAAAGTGGAGTGGAGTGTGAATATCAGTATTCTTATTTTAAAGGAAATTACAATCAAGAAAACCAAAGCATTCATATGTTGAATGAAGAGAAAACCATTTAGAATATAATAATAATAGTAAAGCTATATAATTCTGAAGAAATTGTGTAAAACCATGATAGGAAATCACATCCCAAGAATAATGGACAGATGCTAGTCTTTCTAAAATAAAAGCATCGAATAAAACCGTGAGAAGGGCATCAAAATGCCATTTTACAGTTCCCTGAATCCAAACGAAGCCTAATTAGCTGTAATAATACAGAATAAAAAAGGATTTTCAGGTATAAAAGAATAAAGAGGGAGGCTCTACATCTTTATTCTGTGAAGTGATGTGTGGTATGACAATTTCAGTGAATTGACATGCCCAAAAACATTGTAACATAACAACACAACAATAAACCCCCGCAAATTACGACCATAAAACAAAAGCATTGGATACCCAAGCACAAGTTATGGACCCCACCTCTCTACAAAAGTCTACCCTCAAATCAAGCCAATCCAAAAGACAAATGCAAACTACAAATGCTCATGAACCAAACAAGGGAAACAAGAAAAACAAAAAAGATATATTCTTCCAACCCAATTAGCAAAATTAAAATAAAATAAAAAAAAGTTACCATCTTGTAGCATTTCAAAAGTAAGTACTTATTTTGCTTTTGAAAGCAAAAATGTCTCCTGCCTTTTTGCTTTCAAAAGCAACACTTGGCAAAATGGCAACAAAAACATGTACCTCCAAAAAGCAGACAACCAAAAAATTCACATAAAATGCTCAAATTTAATCTAACAAAACACCAAATTAAATCCTACTTGAGAAATGAGTTTGAGAATAATCACCTGTGGCTCTGTGAACTTGACTCCCTGGACTGCGGCGAGGCCGGAGAGGTCATGTTCCATGTATTCAAATACAAGGTAAAGGCTTGAAGACATTCTTGAAGTAACCAAGCCTTCAAGCTTGATTACGTTAGGATGGTCAAGCTTTCTCAAGACAAGTATCTCTCTTGCCATGAACTTCAAGCTCTCTGGCTCTAAATTATCAAACCTAACCTTCTTTAGAGCCACAATCTTCCCTGTAATCAAATCCCTAGCTTTATATACATTGCTATACGTCCCTTGCCCAATCTAAAACATACAAAATTCATCACCACATGTCACCAAATTATCAAATACATGATCATCTCTGTAGATATGTATCTATGTATAGAGTTAATTACATTTTTAGTCCCGAAAGTAGAAGTTTTGTGTCATTTTGGTCATTTTGGTCACTAATGTTTAAATTGTGCCAGTTTAATATTTCAATTTGGTTTTCAACCTAACTCCCTCCATAGGCGCGGTTAAAGCCAACAATAAATATGAAAACTCAATTAAAAATTTAGATTTTTAGTCACAAAAATACGTGATATATGTCATTAATTTGAAAACTCACTTAAAAAACTACACTTTTAGTTGTGTTATTTTAGTTTTCAAAATTACACATTTACCCCTCATTTTAACCGCATCTATTAATTGAGGTTAGAGACGAAATTGAAACACCATTTTTATACATTGTCATTGTATTTATACAATTTAAATAATACAAACAAGAGATACAAAAACTTTGGGTACTGCAAATGTAATTAACCCCAAAAATATAATTAATATTTTAATCTCCAAAAAATGTGATATGTATTGTTAATGTGAAAAGTCATTTTAAAAAACACTGCCCTTTTAGTCCTAGGGTTATCGGTGTCATTTTAATCTTTAAAATTACATATTTACCATTAAAGAGGATTTATTGATGGAGTTAGAGTAGTACTAAATTGACACTATTCAAAAAGGGAAATTTACTGCAAGACCCCTTAACTATTAATGTATTCACTTTATTATTTATAAATTTGACAATTTCAACTATAAACATATATCACTTTATACTCATGACCCTCCTTTGGTGTATTTGCACATTTTCATTAATATATATGAATTCATAAATGAGGCAAAAAGTAAAATTAGCTAATAATTGAGGAATGGATAGAATTAACCCATTTAAATATTAGGATTAAAATGAAACAAAATTCATATTTGGGGACTGAAGATATAATTAATCCATATATCTATGTTTATGTATTGATTTATGGATTATGAGAATACCTTGGCCAGTTTCTCGAAGGTATTGGCTCGGCGCGGCGTCCAATCCTTGATGGCTTCGCCGGCGACTTCGCACAACCACGACGGCCAGCCTTGGCTCGTCTTCAAGCCGAACTCCAGCCTCGGCTTAATCCGATCCGGCGTCGGAACATCGTCGGCCTGAAGAGTCGGCTCGCTCTCCCCACCATTCGTAACCCTAACAACGTCTCTACTAGCATCCGATGGTAGGTCGGCGTTCCGGCGAGGACGAGAATCTCCGGAGGGCTTCCGGGAATCGCCGGCGAGCAGCGTTCCGATCACGCAGCCCATGGCTCAGTAGTTATCGCCTTGCCGGCGCCGGCGCTGCCACATCGGATTGATGGAAAAAACAAAGGATTCGGAAATGGGTTTGTTTGGCAGCCGAGAAAAAGAGGCGATTGGGGAATGGTGGTTTTTCTCTGGGGTGGGAGTGAGTGTTTAGAGAGATGGGAAATTGGGCTGAAGCAGAGGAAGAACAGTTGGGTTTTGGGAGAGAGTGAGAGAGAGAGAGAGAGATGGTGGGAAAAGGGAGGCAGAGAGGTGGTTGGTATTTATATCAGATGGAGAGAGAGAGAGAGAGAGAGAGAGAGTAAAAAGATGTCAGTTGGGTGTTTTTGGGGCTCTTAGGATTAAATTACGGTACTGCCACTGTATGTATAGTCTTTCTCTCACACTACATGGTGACATCATGGTTTTGAAGTCAAATAAGAGGAGCGAGAAAATCATGTTTACATTTTTCTCATAAGAAAAAAATATTTACTTAAAAAATTATCCCAAAAATATTTAGGCCAAGTTTGGCATGAGACAAAAAAGATAAAAAGTCAAAAAGTCACTATCCTATTTAAGTCACATCATCTTATTTAAGTCACATCACCTCTCAAAATATTTAGATTTCGTTTGGACTAAAAAAATATAAAAAATAAAATAAGTAAAATAAGTTAATAAAATAAAATATTACATTAAATCATATTTATTTTATTTTTTTGTTTACAAAAGTAAAAAAAAATTATCAAACGACCTTTTTAATCTCAAATTTAAAAAGTCTTAACTCCAAAAAAATCAATTAATTTTTTTTTTTACCAAACAACAGTTGAAATATTTTTTTCATGTGTAGTACTACTTTATAGGATTTAATCTAAATTATACATTAATTTTTTTTTTAATTTTACAAGTTATTTGTGATTTTTGATGCTCTTTATCACTCTATAGTCTTCATTTATAACTCATTTTGCATTTTTAAAAATTAAAAAATAAAAGGATATTTGATAATTATTTTTTCATTTTAATAGCAACAACATTATTAAAAAAATAAATTGAACAATTTCAACCTCTCCTTCAACAACTGTCCTTCAATAAGTCATATAATTTCTTCTACTCTAATAACTCATTATAGTTACTCTCTCAATTTCACTCCAACAATTTGTTTTGATCGGATTAGAATTATTTGTAGTGAGTCTCTCTATAATATTCTAAATTAAAATAAAATTATGTTATTTTAGAATGTGTAATTTTAATATCATTTTATTCAATTTTTAATTCAAATAATTGAATATTATGTACATTGTTGATGTGTATTACTATAATAAAAAGTATAGCAAGATCATTATAGAAAAATTATGACAAATGAATCAAACTCTATTTGGGATTCATTTGGAAAATGGGTTGGCTTTTTAATTTTTGATTTTTTGACTATTTTAGCCTGGAGCTAAAAAGTCTCATTTGAGAATGGTTTTTTGACTTTTTTGACTTTTATAAGATACAGAATGTAATAATTATGAGTTGGATGTGATATTTTGTCTTATTAACATAAAAAAAACCTATTTTGTTTTTTTGTGACTATTTTAGTCAAAAAAAGTCCCAACCTCAACTTTCCAAACAGACTCTACCATAAGGAGCAAAGCCAAAATTTTACTTGAAGGGGTCTAAGAAAAATTTAATTAAAAAAAGTTTCATATAAAAGTATAATTAGTGAATATGATATGAAAAAAAAAACCATAAAAAAGAAGAAGATTATTTTATGAATTCATATTAAGTTTACATCCATAGTGATATGTCTCTAATTTAAAACTTTCGTTAAAAATTATGGGCGTGTTTGGTGCATCTTTTAACAAATTAAAATTGGTAATCAATAAGTAAAAGTTAAAGACATATCTTTCCTTGCTTCTTAATAATTAACTTTTTCTTCAACTTATTTAAACTACTGTCTCATAAGTTATAATAAAGGTTGCACCAAATACTTTGACATGAATTTAAAAATAAAAATATAAAGAACTATGAGCAATTCAATAAACTATATATGCTAAACACCATGTATATCCATCAAAATATGAATAGCGAAATACCATTAATTATAATATAGAAAAGTTATTATATTAACTATTCAGCCAATTTAAAAGTATTTGCATTAAACATAAAAAGTTTTTCAAAACAATGTCATTGCATTATACTATAAATTTTATTTTTCCAAAATTAAGAGGGCCAAGAAAAAAATATTATTAATATTGATTATAATATGTGAGAGTAAGTCCTATCACCCTCTTAAAAAGTGACTCTCTCCTCCTCTTCATCAAATATGTTTTTTATTATTATTATTTGTTTTGAAATGTATATGTTATTTATTTTTATTTTTGTATTAAAAAGTAAACTTTTTTATAATGTTACTAAATTCAACCTCCATGATTGTTATTATCTCTTGTGGATTGGTCATCAATAATTTATTGGACACTCATTTATTTATTTTTTATTATTATTATTGGGAAAGATATTCAAATTGATTGAATACTCGGGAAATTTAACAAACTACCATCATTATTGTGTTACAAAAAATATAAAAAATAAAAAACTAAATCATACCATCATCAATTGGCCAATGTCACAAATTGATGTATTCTCACCAAGCATATTAGGCAACCATTCCACTAAAGTTTGCATTTGTTAGAATAATCAAGTAAATTGTATTTTATTTTATTTGTTTGGAGTGAGTTTCACTTTTACCCTTATAATTCCAATTATGACACATTAGACTGTATTTATCTTCTCTTTTTCTTTTTCTTTTTCTTTTTTTAATTCACTTCAATTAACTCCAATTATCAACTCTTTTTACATATTTTTGTTCTAAAAATTAACCACTACATCCAATTTAGATGAGCTAGGAAGCATAAAATCCATATGTCCCAAATGAAATTGCAGCAACAAAAATAAAATTTGTTCCAAATTAAAATTTATCCAAAATAAAAAGTTAAAAAAAAATATTAAATTTAGTCATATTAACATTGTAATTTTTTTAAATTTTTGTAAAAAAATTTATGAATATCTATTTTTACTAGTAAAAATAATTTTCTCATACAAAATTTCATTTTAACCGAATGCTTAAAAGAAGAAAAAAAAATCCTTCAACTTTTTTTTTTTTCCTTCTTTGGTTTCATATTCTATTGAAAATTACCACCAAAAAAAAAATCAAGGTTTGACCTTAATAACAAATTAAACCCTAATTTTTTTTTAATTACTTGAATTTAAACCCTAAACTTTTAAAACAATATTAATACTAACCATCCATTTATATCCATTATCCCCAAGGGTGAGGATTATCGATAAGCTTTGATTCACCTCCCCTATACCTAGAGTTATAACTAACAAGAACAGACAATTTAAGTAATTTAATTACTTTTTTGTCTTTTCATTATCGTTGATAGTTGCCTCTCAAATTTACAATCTCCATTACTGTCTCTCCTCTTTCTCAACCTACCACTAATTACCATATTTACTTTTTCCATCCACCGCTACTCCTCATTTAGGACTATCGACAAAAAGTGATTAAATTATTTGTTCTCCATTAATTATAACTAAAGGACAGTTAAAAGTGATATCATTTTAAAAGTTGAATATTTAAATTAAACTCATTGAAAAAATAAAGTTTGATTTGTTATTGGGTCAAACATGAGAGGTTTTTTCAAAAAACAAAATTTTCCATTTTTTCTATTAAACTTATCTCTGTAATCCAACTAATATATATTATATATATATATATATATATATATATATATGTGTGTGTGTGTAAATTATGAGAGTCATAAAAAATACATAAGATGGAGAGAGGATAATGGTTTTTCTAGAACAAGGGATAACAACCTCGCCGAACCTATTAAATTTAAAAAGGTGATGATGCTTCTCATCTCCCCACCATATAAATTGATTCACTCATTAAACTCAATTTGTACAACTTTAAAAAGACAACCCTCTTCAAATAGTTGAAAGTTTGCAATCAAAATCAATCAGGTAATTTTTTATTAATTGACCAACAAAATTGTAGATGAAAAGAAATTTTTTTTTTAAGTTGGAAAATTTTGAATTTTAAATTTTAAAATTTGATATAATGAATGAGGCAATAGGACAATTTAGAAATGAAAAACTAGAATAGATATATTGCATATATATTTATGTATGCTTTGTAGGTATAATCTTTTTGAACTCAGTAGAGTCTTCTTTAGTGGCCAGTGGATTCGTTATTACAACTTTTAGGCGGCGTTTGTTTGGAAGGATTTAAGTATGGGATAGGATTAATAGTCCATCCAGATTAATAGTCCTTTGTTTGTGTTAACACCATAAATCTGCAATTTTTATTATTATTTATTATTTATATAATTGCAGGACACGTGGCATCCTCTTATTCATTTGGAAGTTAAAAGAAGTTATAGAGATAATGGAGAATATGAAGGATAAAGTGGGTGAGTGGGAGGACAAAGTGGATGAGTGGAATGACACATGGCAAGACAAGAATGAAGATGGAAGAAATGGGTAGTTACTAAGTAGTTATTGCTGTATTTTTTCTTCTATAAATAGCCATTAATGGCTACATTGTAAAGGATCCAGAATTCATAATCAAAGACACTTGATTTCAATATTTCTTGTTATTTTCCTTATCTTAGGAGTAGTTTAACATAGATTTATATTTCGAAGCATTTATTTTCAGCATTTCCATTTCGAAGCATTTTATGCACTTTCTTTTCGAAGCATAGGAGTTTTGACATGAATTTAAAAATAAAAATATAAAGAACTATGAGCAATTCAATAAACTATATATGCTAAACACCATGTATATCCATCAAAATATGAATAGCGAAATACCATTAATTATAATATAGAAAAGTTATTATATTAACTATTCAGCCAATTTAAAAGTATTTGCATTAAACATAAAAAGTTTTTCAAAACAATGTCATTGCATTATACTATAAATTTTATTTTTCCAAAATTAAGAGGGCCAAGAAAAAAATATTATTAATATTGATTATAATATGTGAGAGTAAGTCCTATCACCCTCTTAAAAAGTGACTCTCTCCTCCTCTTCATCAAATATGTTTTTTATTATTATTATTTGTTTTGAAATGTATATGTTATTTATTTTTATTTTTGTATTAAAAAGTAAACTTTTTTATAATGTTACTAAATTCAACCTCCATGATTGTTATTATCTCTTGTGGATTGGTCATCAATAATTTATTGGACACTCATTTATTTATTTTTTATTATTATTATTGGGAAAGATATTCAAATTGATTGAATACTCGGGAAATTTAACAAACTACCATCATTATTGTGTTACA